TATGACTGAACATTTGATGTGTCTTTTTCATTTCAACAGGTGGTCCAGCTGACTGGGTTCAAACCATCAGGTACAGTGCTAACATCACTGGATACTGGTCTTCAGTTCTTTGATTTGCATTTGCTCAAATTAAATGAAAATGAATTAGAATCAGGTTGTTTCCCCCACCAGTGTCAGGAAACATGGTCACAGTCCACACCTTCCTGAGTTATAGTGTTGAACAATAACCAGATGTATGTTTACGGAACATTATGATGTCACAGTGAAGTTGAGCTTTGACCTTTTGGATATAAAATCACTTATAAAATCACTTAATTTTATCCTTCTAGACATTTGTGTTAAATTGTGTCATAATTAGTGGATGAATTTGTGAGTTATGGCCGAATCTCTAGATCACGTGGTGCAGCCGTGAGGCGAGAGATGCTCAGGTCATGCAGACAGTGTCGCTCTAAACTGTTAACATGGTGCCAAAATGAAACACAAGACATTCCATCTGTTCCTGACTTTGGCATTAAATGCATCAGGGAGGCAAGGGTAATTGGACATGAGGGAAATAATTTCAAAGTAAAACAGGAAACACAGTCATGTAAGGCCAGAGCCCCCCCCACCCCCACCCCCCCGGTTGGCTGCTCCACACTGAAGGAGGTGTTTGACCTTGTGATGGTGACAAAGTCAGGAGGCGGCACTGATCTCTCACTGCTGCCACTGCTAATTAATCCATCCTGACATTTATATTCACGCTCTCTGAAATGAGCTCGTCAGTGCAGTTGCCTGTGCACCTTTACTTCCTGTATGTTTCACAGCCCAGCATCCCCCTGTGGCCTGTGTACCTTCAACCATTCCACCTGCTTCCTCTTTGTCTGCCTTTAAATCACTCCACATATAGAGCATTTTAAAACAACCTTGAGGATGAAATAAAGAAGAAAAATAAGTATTTGCATTTATGCTCATTGAGATTCCTCATTTAAGTCGGCTGAATGAAGTGACTGAGATGTTTGAGTTTATGTTAATGTTATTGGTGGTAGAAGTGTTTGTGCTGCTGCTGGTGTTTTCATGTGGAATGATGGTCGAGTACTTTTATGTTTTTAATTTTCACTTAAGGAGAAAACAGAATAGTTGTCATTTTTTAAAGGTTCTTGGTATTTGTAGGAAACATGGTCTGTTAATGGCTTCAGTCTGAACAATATAAGCTTGTGCACAGTGTGTAGGGTGTGAGGAGCAGCCACTGACACACAGCAGATATAAGGCAGAGACAGCAGGAGAGCTTTTCCTTTTTCTCAGATTCTCTTCATTTACCTGCAGCATTAGGCCTGTGTGAAAACCCGACCCCGTGTCTTTTGTTGATTTGAATGTGCAGCGGGCACAACAGATGGTCCCCATATCTGCTGAGGGTTAAGTCACTGTCACTGGCTCTCAATTGCCCGGCAGTGTGGAGAAGGAAGTTTGTAATAGCTTCATTAAATGTTTGGCCCTGTGTGAGGAACGCCTGATGGATGGTATTCTGAGTGCTGCTGGGTGTTCATTGTTGACCGCCAAGACAAAGGACAAGTTCATTCCCTTAATCAGGAACGGACAGCGGCAGCTATTCACGCTGTCAGCCATTAACCACTCCAACACCTGCTCTCTCTCACTCTGCTTTTCATTTCCCTCCCTTCTTGTTTTCTCCTTTGTACACAAACACACTCTCACTCCTGTGATGCAAAAACACATTAAATGTCAGATTAATCCGGGAGTCGTAGCTAATGCCTTTCGCTTTATTTCACTGCAGGTTGTTGAACTGCAAATGGAGTGGATCCTGATACTTGGTTACACACACACACACACACACACCCACACACACACACACACACACACACACACACACACACACACACAGATCCCACCTGAGGAAGAGCTGGGAGGGAGGATGTGGGAGAAGATGAGCGTGGAGGGAAGATGGAGCAGCGAGCTCCGCCTCTCTTGACACTGTCACCGTTGTGTTCTGAGCTCAGATCAACACTGTTGCCTTAACTGACTTTAGCTTCCTGTTTCCGAGGCTAAAGCTAAAGACGAGACACTTTCCTGTGTCACAGCAACACTAAACATCCTGGTTACTGCATGACTGGAGCTTGTTCAGTAAAGTAGAAATACTTCATGAAAACTGTATACTTATAATTTTCATCTTTTAATCAGGACACATTCACTCCGCTGTTCTGGGGTGGAGGCACAAAACTCAGCATCAGCTGTCTGAAAACTTCACTTAATAAAACTAAACCAGTGTATCTGCATGACTACATGCACATGTATTCAGTATTATTCTTTTTTTACTCTTATTTAGATATTACTGGCTTTACTGCACCATGCAGTTTCTGACAGTTTCTGACACCAAACACAGAAGCAACAGTTTAATTTCCATAAAATGACATGAGCTAAAATGATGTAATGTCTCCTTGTTCTTGTGTCCTCATGTTCAGTGTAAATAGTGATTCAAGTCTGTGGTCCATGACATGTTGTTTTATAGTTACCTGACATTTTCAGCGTTGACAACCAGGTTTAAGCGTCTTACTGTAAAATGATGATCACATGATGAGAGAAGGCACAGAGCCATGTGTGATACTGTGAATGTCTCACACATACGTTTGCATTAAAGCTCCCATTTTGTATAAATGTACATTTCCATGTGTTTTTTGATTATAAACAGAGATTTGGTGCTATGTGTTTAAGTACCAGAGTGCACCCATGGTGGTGAGGGGGTTTAAAATATAAAGCTTTTTATGTATGTATAGGGTTGTTGTTTCTTTTGCAAAATGACCCCCCCCCCCCCCACACACACACACACACACACACACACACAAACACAATTTCCGTCTTATGAACAGTTTCATCAGTGAATGATGAATGAAAGGATGTTTTCTGTCTTTTCATCTTTACTAATTAACGATGTAATTCACTGAGCAGTTCAGAGGCTGTCGGCAGCTACTGGACAGTGTTAAAGGGTTAGTTGTGGTTATTAGACGTGGGGTTGTGTGAAAGTACTCATCAATAGTCAGTATATTACCTGCAGTAGATTCTGTTCAGCATGCTCCCAGTTAGTAAAGCCGACTGGCAACACCCCTCAGAGTGGCAGACTGATGTGCTGTGCCCACCGAAACAATCCAACATCTGTTTAAATGTAACTTCATGTAGAATATTTTCACTGTGATTCACTCAGCTGACCTGTGACTGCAGCTTATTATAGTGCGCTCCGTATGTGTGCCTCTGCATAGGAATACGGTTCAGGGGTTGAAAAATGTAGAACCAAAGGAAAGTGCTGTTTTCACGGGAAGATAGAGCTGAAAATATTCCACATAAAGCTACATTTAAACAGATGTTGGATTGTTTCAGCGGGTGTCTTTAAAAGTGTCTAAATCAGTTTTTTTCTGTTGGCCACGCCGACAGCAGCTCACCGCTCTGCCACTCTGCCGAGTGCTGCTGGTTGGCCTTCCTAACTTGGAGCGTGATGAACAGAATGTACTGCAGGTAATTTACCGACTATATATGTTTACCTCACACAACCCCACGTCAAAAGACCACAACTTTAAAGTCCGTTTAAGGTATGTTTTCTTGTGTCTAACTCAATGCATGATTGATGTTTGTAAATCAATCAATACACCTTAAATGTCAATATGACAACTTTGACTATTTGATTAGTTTTTATCAGCTCTCTACATGACAGACTGTTTAGTGATGATCAGATCTTCAAGCTCGTAAAATGTAGATAAATATCAACAGTAATATGTGAATTGTAGATATTTCCTTTGATTCATTCTGGCAGCTCTACATCTGTGATTATAGATCAGGTCTAGGTTCTATATTATTACTGTGACAGTATCAAAACCTCAGTCCACACAGAAATGCACACAGCCTGTATTCAGAAACTGAGCCTTAAACTGAGCCTTAAAACTTCCTCTTCTCCTGTGTTTTATTTGAAGATAGATAGATAGATAGATAGATAGATAGATAGATAATTTATTTATCCCCTAGGGGAAATTCATGAAGTCTTGATCCATAACAGGATATATTTGTGGTTTTAAGAACCAAAAAACATCTCAGTGTAGTTTTACATCCCCTCTCTCAGGCTTCTCTCAGGAGCTCTAGTAACAACAGGTGACCCAATCAGAAGAGAGGAGGCTCTGAGCCTCTCTTCAGATGCTGCTTTGTTGTGACATCACAAAGTTCCAGAAGTCCTGACGGCTGGTTTTAAGGCTCAGTTTCTGAATACAGGCTGTGTGCATTTCTCTGTGGAAGGAGGCTTTGATACTTTCACAGTATTAATATAGAACCTAGACCTGATCTATAATCAAACTACACATGGACATCTACCTTTACTATATTATGTTTTAACACAAGTCATCAGGACTTCTGTGACTTTGTGATGTCACAGCAAACCAGTCACCAAGCCCCGCCCCCCTGGACCCATCAAGCCTTATAGGATTTGGTTTCTCCGAGTGTGAAATCTGCTGTATTTTTATTGGATCACTAAGAAAACAGTCAGCTGTTCAAACTGTTGTTACTACAGCTCCAGAGAGAGGCCTGAGAGAGGAGATGTAAAACTACATTGAGATGGTTTAAATTTCTTCTTATAGATCAACACTTCAAATAAAACTCAGGAGGAGTTAAAGGAGTTAACATATGGAGATTTTAGGCTTGAGAAACAGGAAGCACATGTCTTGCTGCAGTCAGATTTCTTCTATGTTCTATGTTATTAACAAGCAGCAGCCATCTTAACTCCCTCGTCTTCCCCACAGTGGAGAGGCTCAAACTGTTACTACATGTCTGTGAATGTGTATAGATGTCCCACTGTCCTCCCAACATCTGCTTTGGTCTAAATTAGATTTGATTTGGACCTAAAAGTGAAATAACACTACGACTGCTGTGCTGCCTCTTGTCCCTTGTATATACAGTGTGAGCTCTGCATTAGTTGTGCACAGCTGATGAACGACACACAAGCAGAGCTTTACTTTGTGGAATTTTATTGGTTTAATGCTATTACAATAAAATTTATTTAAAGAAAACAAAATGTTTTAGTCACTTTACTCTTTTGGGAGAAAACGGGACAAACTGTTAAACTCACAGGAAAAAAATAAGTGAGGAAAAAAAACAAAAAAACAAAAACAAACAAAGGCAATATCAAGAGAATCAGCTCCACGACAGCAAATTGACCTCAACATAAAGCAGAGAACGTTTCTCAGTGTTGAAATGTATCTTCATCTTTGCAGCAGATATTCACTTCACAACATAAATATACTGTACAGAGTGAAACACAGAGTGTGTGTATGTCTGTGTGTGTGTGTGTGTGTGTGTGTGTGTGTGTGTGTGTGTGTGTGTGTGTGTGTGTGTTCAGACAGTAAGTTAAGGCAGGTGGAGTGATTGTCTACTCTGCCACATCGACGTACGAGCAAAGGGATGATTTTTTTTAAATGTCCACAGTGAGAAAGTCGAGCTGCACAATATTAACACACACACTGTTTAAACTGTTCATCAGCTGGTCACGGTGATCGTCATTGTGATCGTCACGGTGATTGTCAGTCACACTGTCGTCCAAAATACATGAGTGCTACTGTTCAACAGAGAAACACTAGCTGCTGCAAACACACAGCACAGTGTTCTGATCGTGTGTGTCGGGCTGACAAGGCCTGTGGTGTTGTTTTAAAATATATACAATATGCAGGAATGTGTCACTTAGAAACTCATTTTAATTCAGTGTAATTGTTTATTGGAGCTTTAAGGAGCAGAATTTTAAAAAAGATCACTATGTGTGTTTGACCGGGTCACAGCACCCGTCTCTCATGTTTAAAGTGATGCAAATAGCTCCGTTGCAATCGAGCACTCAGAGCTCTTTAGGCAAATTTGAAATGGCATCTTCCTTCGTAGCTAACTTAGCTACACCTAGCTACATAATAAAAAAAAATAGCGACACAAAGATGGCGACAGGTGTGGATGAGAAACGTCATCAGTCAGGCCAAAACAAAACAAACAGGAAATGAAGGAAAATACTCAGCTGCTAATCTGCAACAGCAAATACATTTGAAATGAATTATGTTTTTTTATTAGCATAAGAAGGAACCATTTTAAATAATTGTATTTCCAAAGTCACCAAATGTTCATACTGAACAAATCTGGAAAATACTCTTGACATATTTTATTAGCTTTCCTACATTATTAAATATTTGCTTGTGTCAACGGAGACATGATGAGTGCTGTTGTGGCTGTGTTGAAGCAACAGGTTGAGGTTTGGAGGTCTCTCCTACAATTAAAAAGCCTGAAGCCGACCACACATGGACTCATGTCACATCAGCTTCCTGCACTTTGTATAAAGCAGTGACTCTGAGACAAGGTTGAACTCAGTGTTTGAACAGTCTCATTCACAGGCGAACACACACACAGCGTCCTGCTGCTGATGTTTGACATGAGACTGTGTGAACAGTGGAACACAGACAGGATGGGGAGTAAGCTCAGCTTGTTGAAAATAAGAAAATATTGAGCATCAGCTTTTTTTGGACATTATTTACAGACAGTTTGGACAGTGAGATCTCTGCAGCATCTTCACTTCAGATCTTCCGTCCATACACAGGTGACATGAATGTGAGTGTGAACATAGCATTGTTTTCTTCAGACACTGAACCAGAAATAAAAGAAACTTGAAACCAGATGTTTCCAGATGCATCTTTTCCCTCCCTGTGTCATCTCTGGCCCCAGTGAAACACCTACAGATGTTTCACATGGTCATCCATCTGCACACTGATGTGTCGTTCTCCCTCCTCCTGTCTTTGTCTGTCTCTTTGTCTCAGAGTTTGATGAATAACTCAATTGAATGTTTTTTAAGCTTTGATAGACCAATATATTAACATCTAAATAGATAAAAACAAAACTATACTGAAAGCCCATAGAGCTTTCATATGTATTTATTTTTTTGTAAGGTTGGTGACTAAAAGAACAAGTGCAGAGATACGAGCAGTGCTAGTCTAGTCTGACGAGACCACAGTATACTGTGTTACCCTGAAGTCTGTCTTCATCTAAAAAATAATAATAATCATCATCATCATCATCATCATCATCATCATCATCATCTGGGAACAAGTCACTGATCTTGGAATCATAAAGTTTCATCTGACATTTGGATCAAAAACGACTCATTCTGACATTAAAATTTGATTTCTGAGAAGAAGCTTCGATGTCTGTTTGAAAAAGTGCATGTTAGCCATCCATCAGGTGTTTCCACGGTAACGGTCCCATCCTGTGATGTGACAGGTCAACATCAGCCCACCCAGCTCCAGATTTCACAATAAAATTCCGATCACAGTTTAGCAGTGATATCAGACAGATGTTTAGGTGTGGACGTCATAGCAGCTGTGGACAGACGTCCATGTCTAAATGGCCGTTCAGCACTGGTGTATGCTGGGTCGTAGCATGCTTTTATCGTGACTCTAATTTTAGATTTTTGAAAACAGGGAAGAAAATCCAGTTTGTAAAGGTCACATTAACGATATCAGAGATGACCTTGAGAACAGATGGAGCTTTATAATTCCAAAGTCAAAAGAACATTTTCTCCTCTGACTCAAACAAAAGGCCGAACACAGATGAGCCGTACAAGCCCGGGAATCTTCCTCTCACTCCCACAGTCTCACCTAGACAAACACACGGTGACGGCGGCGGAGTATCCTCGCACGTCCCTCACACGCATGCTCGCTTGGCGTGCAGCATCTCGATGAGCAGGTTGTTGCAGGGCACCTCTCCGCTCAGGTGCATGTAGCACAGGTAGTCCTCTGCCTGTGTGCTGAGGGAGCGCAGCTCCGGCAGCCGCACCACCAGCTGGCTGAACTTGTCCTGGAACTGAGGGTAGGTGGAGAGGGTATACTCCAGCAAGGCCGTGTTCACCTGCTCCTGGACACCCTCCACAAACGCCTGGTTCTCCAGCAGCTTCACATCTGCAGACACACACACACACACACACACACACACACACACACACACACACACACACACACACACACACACACACACACCAAATGTCTGAATTTTCAGGGAAATGTTTCTGAAAGGAAACAATACTTTGTTGGTCTGTTGAAGTAGCCACAGAAACCAGAGGGTAAACAACATACAGCTACAGTGAAGAGCTGGAACATGATGATACAGAATATACGTTTATGATATATATCATCTATAGGAAGACGAGCTTAAAGTTAATGAAGAGGAGATAAAAGGGTAACACTATTTTAATGAGCCACGGTAGAAAAGATAAGAGGATCATGGTTCTGGTTTTAGAGGTCTGAGTTTATTGTTCTTTCCCATCAGCCTGCTTTAATTCTTATTCTCAATTTCCATGAAAAATGAATGGAGTTTGGCAGATTTGAAAATCTGCCTAAATATCACAAAAATGTGACATTGAAGATTTATTGAAGGGATAGGGGACTTGTTGGTTTGTGTCGTTTACATGCAACCCCATAAATGAACGATAAATCCAGAGCATTGATAAAATGCTGTGAATGACCAAGAAACATAGAAATGTTTTCATATTGTACACTACAGCTCAAAAGCTGTATAACAATCCCTTTTTTCCAGTTTTTATTGAAATGTTATGAGTTCAGTGAGAAACCTTTAATGGTTCAAAGGTAAAAAATAATGATAATAAAAAAAGAAAAGCTTTAAGGTGCATGTCACATCCTGTAAATATGATAGAAAGAAAGTGGTGAACTTCCAGTTTTCCTGCAGCAGTGTTGAAAGTTAAAGCAGGTTGATGACTGGCTGTCACTGTTCTGATGCATCATTAGGACAATAATACAATACAACAGACTTCAGCCATGACATCAGAAGAACAAAATCAGACCAGCACAGTCTGACATAGCAACCCGCAACAGTCTCTCTGAGCCATGTTTGATTTCCATTGTAGAAAGAAGGACATTTAGTCTCAGAATTCCTTGTTTGTTCTTTGCTTTAGTTGCAGAAACACTGAGACACTGTACTGTGTAAATTTAAACAACAGCTGGAAAAATGGAGGCGTTTGGGGGTGTCATATATTGTGTTGAAATATTTTCCAAATTAAAAATGTTTTCAGAATAGCTAGTTTTTTTGAGTGATTCTTATCTTGAGTGAGAAAGCTAGAAATAATAACAGGTTGAAAAAACAAATCTTATCTCAAGGTCCAATTACTATAATATGTTCTGGAGCATCAGTTTTATCCTCAGGACACATTTTGATTCACGAGCCACCTTCATGAGTTGATACTGAAATCTAAAGAAAAGGCTGGTGAAGGACCAGCATCAGTTTGTTTGGACTGAAACAAGTTTGTTTTTGGTCTGAACATATTTTGAAGGCTCATAGAGATAGTATATCTGCACTGAAGACAATATTCAATATAACATTTGACCATATTCATTCAGGGAAATAAAAAATTCAATTCAATTTGTTCACGTATGTTATTTTATGTTTTTAGAGAGAAGAAATAAATCAGTTTGAAAGCTGCATGCCTCCTATTCATTAAGCTACTAGGTTTTATATATATGCTGTATCTATACTTAGCATGTGGGTGGCTGTGTGTGTGTGTGTGTGTGTGTGTGTGAGTGTGTGTGTGTGTGAGTGTGTGTGTGTGTGAGTGTGTGTGTGTGTGAGTGTGTGTGTGTGTGAGTGTGTGTGTGTGTGAGTGTGTGTGTGTGTGTGTGTGTGTGTGCATGTATGAGACAATAGCCAAGCCCTCGGGCAGACCGGCATTCAGCATCAGCTGAGCCCATCTTAGAGAATCCATTCACACAGTAATTAAATGTTTTGAATCAATGTTCTGAATCATCTTTTCAAACTGCTTAAGGGCAATTAAATTACCCCCGACAAACCTGACTCTGAAGATGAGGGAGAGCGAGAGCGCGAGCAAAGAAGCTGCCGGCAAAGACAGCAAATATTTTCTGCCTATGACAAGTGCTCTTACCATTCAAAAGCTCTTTGTTCCCTGCTTTGCCAGCGCTAAACAGCAAACACTTCTGGGAATCTGGGCAAGCCACATCTATGCTCTCTCCATCTGCACAAGCCGCTACACGAATGTTGGCCCTACCATCGAATGATAGACCCATCCATTACGCTTCTTTTGAATGCCATTAGTGGACAATGGAGGAGGATGTCTTTGTTAATATTGGCTTTTGTCAACCTGAGAAATTTAAATAAGTGAATTTATTGGAGGGAAAAAGGCCGGTTTGGAAAACACTTGTAACCTTATAGATAAATAGGCACTGCAGATGATCTGCAGTGGTGACATTTTTTCATTAAAATATCAGTGTTGCTATTCAGATTCAGCCAAAAGATGGCCTCACTGTCTCTGCAGCCGCACAGAGTTGATTGATTTTTGTTTCAAAACACACCATTCTTCAGAAAACACAATCCACAGGCTGCATGTGCAAGCACAGGCCTTTCACCACACATTCTGTTTTTAATGGGTCAGTCAAGGGGTAGAGTTTGATAGAGGTGAAACACAAACAGGAAGTTGACTCACTGGGGTTGAACAGGAGGAGGAACTTCATACAGGCGATCTCTCTGCGGTCAACCTGCAGTGTCCGCAACCTCGCCGCCAGCTCCTGACCCCTCTGGACCAGACCTGACAGTGTGGCCTCAGCCTGGGACAAGATGGACGACAGCTCCACCTGCAAACACAGGCTGCTGGTTATATACATGAAGATTCAAAGCCCATCTGGAAGAGCTGAAGACTGCTGTGATCTTCTTCTGCTGTTAATTATATAGATGTACAGAGTCATGTGATTAATCATGTGATTAGGTCCTTTGTTCCAACCTTAAGTGAAGCTTCGGGGACCCCCGGAGCTTCAGGGGCCCCTGGAGCTCACATTTCCGATGATTAAGTCTAATTAAAATTTACATTATATTATTGAAGGAATAAATTTATCTAATTTTTGGGAGAATGATACACTGACATGGTGTTTTATCATGAGTTAAATTACTTGCTATATAACAGAGATTGATTAATGCAAATTAATCTTAATCTTTATTCTACGTGTTGCTGCTAACGCTAAAACAGTTTCCCTCTCCGTTTCAGCTGATAACAGCTAGTTTCTAATGATATCCAGATGTAAAGATGTAAAAACACATCAGTGTTAATGTCAAGCTGCTACCGTTTTAACAAACAGCCCATAGGTTTGGAGAAGATGTATTGAATGTAGTGAGGTGGGTGAATGAATCAGACTGAGATTTGTGCTGATGATGGGAAGTTGCTGGACGGAGTCTCTACCTCCTGGCCCGTCACCAGCAGGATGCTGTCTTCCTTCCCATGCTGCACCTGTCTGAAAATGTGATCCAGGACCAGGAGCTCAGACCAGCAGTTGTGGAGCAGCTTCATTTGATCGCCCACCTTCAGGAAACACAGAGAGAGAGAGAGAGAGACAGACAGACAGACAGACAGACAGACAAGCAGACAGGCAGACACACACAGAGACAGACAGACAGACATACAGACAGAGAGACAGACAGGGAGAAGAGGAGATGCAGATAAGGAAAGAGACAAAAGCAGCTTCATCTTAAGTGACTGTGTAATTTTACATGAGGTTGTATGAGGTATTCATCCACAGTCAGTTTGTTTGATCCCTAGACTCACCACGTGCACTGTATTACGCTGCAGATCAGCTGGTTGGATTCTTTCTGTGGGACTTTTTTTGCTGCTGTCCTCGTCCACAGCAGAACCAGACTGGGAGCGATCCAAACCAAATCTACTGTAGGTACGAAATACACTGACTACGTATAAGAACCTCACACAACCCTGCCTCTTATCCTGTACTGTCCCTTTAAGGCAGATCTACAGTCCAAGCTTCACTCACATGTTCATGTTGTAGCTTTGTTGATTAAACCCTGAAAATCCTGATCGATATTCCTTCAGATGTGTAGATAGATTATTCCTCTACATTTGTCCCGTACACAGGAAATCAATATCCTCCTTTCTCAGGTGTATTCTCTATCACTCTGTGTTGTTGTGTTATGTACAGTATGTTTCCTTCTCTGTCTCTATGTGTAAGCTCACTCTGCCATATATTTGAAACTGAATATACACCATCCCTGTGGAAATATAAGCTTCTATCTGACATTGAGTTATTCACATATTTTTATTCTTCTTCTATTCTGACGAAATATTAATGTCAGGTGAGATGTGTGTTTTTTTTGGACTTCTTATAGAGAAAACAAAAGGTTCAACTCCAACTGGGTTTTATATGGTTCTACTTCTGAGACAATCAGCTCTTGAATGCATACAAGACAACCAATCACATTCTGCTTCTCTGTCAAGTGACCCACTGTTCAGTGAAGGCGGGAAAAGGGGAAGAGATGAGGAAATGTCCCGTAATGTGAGGTTACAAATGCAGGGCAAGTTCACTATTTTCACTGTTCGCATGCTAGCCAGCTAACACCTTAAACGTAATTAAATAGTCTACATTTGAATTGATAGGGTCACAATAATTTCATTCATTCATTCACACCCCCCCCCCCCCAAAAAAAAAAAATACAGAAACAGAATAAAACAAATCTAAACCTGCCTTTACACTGACCTGCTGCACTTACTTCTATCCAACCTAAAAGAAACTTAAACTAATGCTTCCTATATCTGACTGTCCTCTGACTGGAACAAATATTTAGCACTGACCTTTATACAGAACCTGCAATGCTTTGTTAGAATGAGAAAATAATGAATCATCATGAAAAACATTCAGTTTAACTTTCTGTTACATGTAGAAGTTCTGTTACAACACTGATGTCATGTTTTAAAGCTAATGATGAGTACTGTTTGAAAATCGTTGCTTCTTTTCATGTTTTGCGAGATAGAATCAAATGCGAGTTCTCAGGATTACAAGGTTCTACCTGCATTTGACCTGTTCCAAAAAACTCCATTTACAAATCTAATAGGATTTTGATATTTATAGTGTAGAATACACTTAGAATAGACTATACTATACGTGTAGAATACACACAAAAACTTTGAAGTTCAATATCTCAACACTGCTCAGAATGCAGATAGAACCATATAATATATATATAGTCTTTACTATCTATAGGCTTAGTCTGATATTTGATTATATCTAATATATTGATATTGATAATATAATATTAGATAATTATGTATAAATAAAACTAAAAAAACTAAATATAAAAACTACAATATAATTTAATTATAAAAATATCACCATACGATAATCTCTTATGTCATGATATTTCCTGCCATATGTGATATTTTTCAATATAACTAAATAACACTGATTATTAGATAATTATATATTATAAAAAACGTGTGTGTGTGTGTGTGTGTGACAGTGGGTGTGTTTGTCAGTGTGTGCTGATGTCTTCAGCGTATGAGCTATTGCATGTTGTGTATTTATGATCATCTGAGACCTCCTCAACCTGTTCACCTCTCCCTTACACTCCACCCCCACCCCCGCCAAACCCTCTCCTCATCTGCCCTGGCTGTAGGGGATGGGTGTGCAATATTGTCTCCAAAGTGAAGGACACAACAGTCAGTAATTTTGTAGCCACAGCTGCTAATAGGCCCAAACACACATTGGTCTGACACGGAGCTGACAGAATTACTGTCTATCTGAATGAAACGATATATCAGTGGAAGAGGGGAGGGGCCACACACTCTTCTGGACTGGTGCAGCGATGGATGGGGGGTGGGGGTGATGGTGGTGGTGGTGGGGGGGGTCTGGGTGTACAATGATAAAGAAAGGGGTTAAGGAAGCAAGAGGTCTCGGCGACCTCCTGCGCTTCCTCTCCAGGACGAGTCGGACTCTCAGCTGCAGCCAAAAAAAACAGGGAAGAGCGGCTCTACAGACATATGTCATCTCACAGCCATGACTGTGCAGCACAGTCCTGGTTCAGGGGTGAGCAGAGTCACCCTCATGACATTTTTTTTTCACCACCTTCTTGTTACATTAACACAGTTTAGAGTTTAGGCCACTGTTGACCTTTTAACACCAGTAAAACTATGAATTATTATATTATTTTATCATTCCCAATAACATTGTTTGATCAGTCAATTTGTAACATGTGGTTTATATTTGCATGTTTTATCTTTTTACTGCCATTTCTCATTCACTTCATGTCAGACACACTGATTTGTAGTTTGCTTGTTTTGTTGTGTTTTTTGTATGAAATTCAAGACAAATAAATATTTTCAGCAATTCTTATTTAGGCTTAAAGGGTTACTGCAGACTTACTGCCAGGTCCAACCCACGATCTTCCACAGATGGTGGATGAAACTGGGAGTTGAAATAATAAAATGAGCAGAAGAGACTAATTTCATATCAGTGACTGGCATTCTAGAAATATATCACACTGGTATCACGCTTTAACAAAACCAGGAGCAGCGATTTAAATTCAGACAAGACATTTTTATTCACACTGTCAATGCTGCCATTCCTTATATTCTGAGGAATTATCAGTAGAGACTAAATATGTGCACAGAGTTTTTAAACCACGTAGAGGAAGTTTGTAGAGTGAGCTGCAGAGGACACAGAGCAGCACGGCCAAAATCAACTGCTTTAATATTCAGTATTACTGTGGAGGCTTATGGACACGCTGCAGACAGACTGGAAACAGACTTAACCTGTGCTGCTCCTCACCAGCAAACCTGCTGAAATACAAGATTAAATCCAACACTGCAGGAAAAAATTGTAAAGTGCTACACGGATACACAGGACAAATCTGAATATTTAGTAAGCTTTACCTTGCGTGCAGCCTTTCTGAGACTGTTTCTGTATTGGGTGCTTCAGAGTGGAGATCTGTTACAGCCATTTTTGAACAAAACTCTTCAAAATCTTTTTTGGCCACGTTACTTTTAAATTGACTGTCTCCGGCACACTGCCTCTAGTAGCAGCACATTTACCATGTTCATTGTGTGCTCTCCCTCAGCAACATCTCCCATGTTCAACAGGTGAATGGAGGGTCAAACACAAGACATGACAAAGGCCACCGCTGGGGAGCCGCAGCAATCAATAGCTGCCATTCTGCTCACAATTTAATAACAATGTAGACGAGTGGGGCGCAGAGCTGCGGCGGAGGACTGACATTCCCCCGTTATCGTCTGCGTGGAATGTAATAATCCAGCCGGGGGGACGGCTCTTTTTTGCGGGAGGCTTTCTTGGCAAAAACATGCACAGCTTTGTTCTCACTGTCCATGTCCTCCGTCCACGGAACATAAAAATGCTCTAACTGTCAACACAGACACATTAGATGTGTAAAACACAAAGCTCTCTGTTGTTATGGTCATAAAATAAATGATTACTTTACTGAAAAGAAGCTTAAAACAGGAAAACTCACATTTTCCTATGAGGGGGTTTATTGATGACACGCAAATGAAAATGATCACTTCATTTTGGCAAAAGCAAATACTGCCTGAAGCAGAAAACCTACATTTTCATTTTAGATTTATATTTTCTGACACCTGAAAATTAATTTACATTCATTACACTCACACACTGTCACCTATGTGTTGTCAGGTCTGTCCGAACCAAAACAGCAATTTAAATGTCCACATTATCAGAGCCATAAGTAGATTATAAACTATATTTATCTTTATTAATGTGAAACAGCACAATGAGGAAACGTTTTAAATCTCTGTGAACACAGAGCGACAGGCTGTGAAAGAATGTCGGCTCACAGCAACTAGAGCATGACTCATTTTTCTTTCTTTTTTTTTGGTGGTTTCATTTTGGCACTCGCAGCGTTGGGGAAGGATTGTCGTTTTGGTTTAATATAGAAAAATGTCTGTTGAAATCTTCTTGTCAGTGCAACGACCAGAAAAGAACTGAGACCATGAAGGCTATATTATTTTCTAATGTGATAGTAAAACTCTCACACATTAATTTTACAGGGGTTTAAGACCATCCCTGATGATCCTCACAAGCACCACAATTGCATGTTTTAAAGGCTGCACATGGGGCTCAGACCAGTTTAATGCTGCAGCTACAGAGTGAGACTAAATCAAACAATGCTAAAAATACAAATGAGTTCAACAACAATTTTACAGCTATTGTTTCCTGTGCCCTGGAGGATTTCATCACACATCACACACTGCTATGGATCATTGGACTTTAACACACATAAAGAATGTGATCAGTCGTAATGTATCGCCTCCTCTGAGCTTCTCTCCTCTCTCAGCAGCTCAGCCCAGTCTTCCTCTAACACAGGCTGCAGCATAGAGATACCTTGTTGTCAGTCTGAGAAGATGCAACAAATCACATCATCACCACAATGTGGTCTTTGTCTCTGAGACAAGGATGCTGTGAAAGAAACAACAAAAAGACGGATCCTCCTGATGTTCTCACAAACTGAGAATTCAGTCATCATGTTTAGTCATTTTCAGACCCTGGC